CAACAGAATACACAAGTCATCGAATTCTCGTTCGAAGCAATACAGCATTTATATTTTTTTCGAGCTTCAAAATTCCTGTATTTCGTGACAGAGTTACCTGTAAGCTGTTATTTAACATGAATGMTGAACTTTTGAAGGCTACAAAGTAAAAAAAAAAAGCTTATTTTGAGAATATTTGAAAGAAAGAATTCTTGATCTAAAGTTGTTGTTCTCATTTTCAACCGCTGACCGGAAGTTTGGAAAAATGAATGGCTTTGTGGTAATAGGAGTCTGTGACGTCATACACTCAACACTAAACATCGCTCCCAACATTTTTTGTATTTTGTAATCAAAATGTCCGCTAGGTTTATACTCAGTCTAAACACAAGTTCGAAAGTTAAGTTTTCAGCGGACCTTTGGGTTTAATAGAAAAAGAGTAAAACATGAATATATTTTCAAAGAAATGTATGGAGCGATGTTTGGTGTTGAGTGTATAACTTCACAGACACCTATAAAAATTCGTTAAATTAAAGTTAAATTAAATTTCGGAAGATTTTCATGCTAGCCCCCCTTTGAACGTAATAATTTCGTGTACGTGTAAGTGTAAGTGAAAATAGAGTTGTAGGAGTTTTTAGTAGCGGAAGATGAGGGAGTATATCTTGTGGTATGCATGCCGACTACCTTGGCGATCTTTCACTTCTGTTTTCACTGCGCTCTTGTCAAGAATTTATTCTTCGCATGCTGGTACATAATTGCCGTGCAAGTCAGGAGCGGATCCAGGATTTTTTCTATGGGGGAAGACACCATCCAGGATTTTTGTTTTAGGAGGGGATGCACCCTTTGCTTACTCAAACGCCAATAATGCAGTAGATAACAACTCATCTAGGGATCTAGGGGAAAGGGGAACAAAATCCCCATGCACCCCTCCCCTAGATCTGACGTTGCAAGTTTACCCCGCAACAGGATTTTTTGACATACCACTGGAAGATTCTAATAAATTTCTATATACCACCAATATCGTGATAAGCTAGGCATTTACTGGAGAGGAAGTCGCTTGAATTGTCAGGTACAATCAGAAAAAATCATTAGTTTCCAAACTTCCGGTCAGCGAATTGTACGCATATAAGATTGAATGTTGTAATATGTGAGTTAAAATGGGCCATATTTGGCTGAACATGAATTATCTGTAATTATACTTGCCTGCGCGGCAGAGTAATAAATGGGATTCATTGACTATATCAGTACATTTGCTAAGGCCGAATGTTTGAAGGTGTCTGGCCACCACAAAATCATTCATTTTTCCAAACTTCCGGTCAGCGATTGAAAATGAGAACAACAACTTTAGATCAAGAATTCTTTTTTTCAAATATTCTCAAAATAAGCATATTTTTTTAATTTGTAGCCTTCAAAAGTTCATCATTCATGTTAAATAACAGCTTACAGGTAACTCTGTCACGAAATACAGGAATTTTGAAGCTCGAAGAAACTATTAATGCTGTATTGCTTCGAACGAGAATTCGATGACTTGTRTATTCTGTTRAAATTCCTTTATAGAACCACTTAATTATTTCTTGGATTTTAGCTCTTTACGACCAAGGTTAGTTCGCTAAATGCTTATTGAGTTTCCAAGAAACATTTCCTTGTGAAAATTTGGAAAGTTGAGCACCACAAAAGTCACGATGAAACGATAAAGGTAGGTCGAAAATGATGAAAATTGCAAATAACCCATTGTTTACTTTGAATAAAAAAATAATCTTACCGTTGTTGCAGACTAGAACATTATTTTTTTGCTAGAACTTTGTTATTTAGGTATTACCCTTCAACCTCTAATGCTTGTTTAGCTTATTGRCATCTTTTTGGTGCTAATTTTYGAAGCTTAGATAGGGTTGAATTTAGGACATTTTGAATTTTAGGCCTCATAATTTGACTATCCAAGGACTAAAGATGATTGTACCCGCAGAGATTTTGCACGATTTGGTAACTTCAATGTCTCAGAAAACTTCCCACCAAGCCTCTATATTAGAAATGCAATACTTTTGGAGAACGACCAAAAAACATTTTGACCATTTTAGCTTGTTGCTAAAACAGTTGGTACATTGGTTACTTGAAGGCACGAATACTTCGTGTACAAAATAACAAACTAACAATAATTGGTATTTTTCTAAACTAGAAAAGATACTTTATAATTGACGAAAGTTTTAAGGAAATTAATTTTAACGTGTATGAGAAACACAGCATTGAATTTTACCTTCGAGTGGGTTTAATTTATTCCAAAAATTGGAAATTAAGGTTTCATAAAACACTTGCCGTTTCCATGGCAACAATACATTTGGAGACCAAATTGTTGTTGTTTTTGTGAATCCCATATAAAGGCCTA